CATTAAAATTAGATTTATTTATGAAAAATATTGGTTTGATATGCAAGCAATAAGTACGATTTTCTCTCACAATTTCTTGTGATTTTTTGGAGATTCAGAAGGAGACTTGTTCATTTCCGACTACAATGTTTAATTTCCCCGACTGTTGGAGGGACACCATTGAATCCTTTAATTACCATCTGTAGCCTTAATCTGAAAAAATAGATGAACTCCATCTAGTTTTTACCGGTCCAAATGTTCCCTAACCATTACTTAAGCAGTTAAGATCAGAGGAATTCATGAGTAGATAGATCAAACCTTAGTCAATGAAAATGAGATGACAAATACGTCACAATTTCCTTAATTATTCTTTAATATAAATAATAAGTAAAAAAAAAAAAAGAGGATAAAATATGCAGTGCTTGTAGTAATAAGAATATAAAGGAGGATGGGAATCTCCATATTATCAATATGTATATTCCGTAAAATTCTGATGTGTGGATGAGTAAAATATGTACATTGATCAAATCTTGTGAAGTTTTGCAAGGAGGAAGACGGTGGCAGTGGTAATGACCGTAATGAATAAGTCGTCGGGAATCGATTCCAGTCCGAAATATTGCTTGATGATTAAGGCAGTCACCGGAATTCCGAAAATGTAGGTGAGTATGTCCATTACTCTAAACCCTGTAGTAAATCCACTCTGCACAATCACTTCTTGCAGAATCTCTTCAAACTTCTCCCTAGTGATCAGTGTCTCGTCTGTGGCTATTTCTGTGGATTTGTTTGTGGCGTCTTTGTCTGTGACTTTTTCTAAGGCGTTGAGGTGTTTCTGCAACCAAAATATTCACCTAACGTATTTTAATTTCTATTCTCTTCCCCTTCCTTTCTTTTACTGACACAAAACTGGTAACAAGACTCATGATTTAGGCTTTATTTGTGAATGTTGCATTGTCTTGTACTATAATTATAAGATTTTTTATCTTTAAAATATATAAAATATTATTAAAATCAGAGAATAATGGATATCAATTTGTATTGTAATAAATTTGACAAAAAATTATTTTAAAATTAAGTTATTTTAATAAAACATTATGAAAAAAAACTAAAACAGGCCATGTTTTTATTTTTAAAATTAAGATATTTTAATTTTTTTAATAAGATTTTATTAAAACTACATAATTTTAAGGTTTTTTTACTTAACTTTTTACAATATAAGTTGATATTTATTTTTTTGTTAAAATTAATAAAAATATATTAAAAAATTAATTAAAAATTAAAATTTTATATTTTTAAATTAAATATTTTGAAAAAGAACCTATACAAAATACTAACAAATATAGCCTTAATAAGTTCAGCTCTCTTGAAAATTTAAATTATAAAAGTGAACAGTAAGGAGGAGCGAGAGAAAAAAAATATACTACAAATATTAGCTTGAGGGTGGTAATCTTTGGGACACTGAATTGGGTGCTTCCAAGCTTTTTGTTGATTTCTCTGTCAACAGTTAACGTAATTAAGCACAATTAATTAGCAAATAAATTAATTATTTTGCAACATATGAATTGCAATAAAAAAAAAAAAGATAAAATCATTAAAAAAAAAGAAAATTAAATGAAAGGACTTATCAAACCAATTCAATATGTTGCTATACCTTGTTTACTAAAATTTAGCTTCTCAAGAAACTTGCATTTGCCTACCTCACAAGCAATTCCACTCAACTACTATTGAGTAGAAGAAGAACAAATGTCCATTTTATTTTCAAAAAATTGAATTGAATAAATTTTTATTTAAAAAAAAAAACATTTCGTTAAGATTATTATATGTATAAATTCACCATTCAAAATTTCTTTATAAAAAAGATATACTCAAACAAAACTTTTACTAAAGCTATAGTTAAAGAAAATACATTGATTGGTATATTTTTTGATTTATTAAATTACATAATATATTTATTAAAAAATTATTGATTTTTACTATAAAATTAAATACAAATAAATTTAAAAATAAAATTATATATATAAAATACATGAACTAATTGAATTGACTGTATTTATATTATATTTTAATAATTAGATCGAATAAATGCCAAACAATATGTTAAATAAAAGGGTGCATCAATAATTTTTTTTAAAATATGATCATAAATTTTTTATTTAAACGAAAAGAAAAAGACGAGGAGGGGAAAGAAATATACTCGACTGTTTCGCAGACTGCTCGGTAGAAATCTGCAAAGGTGCAATCCAGTACGTCTGCAAAATGAGTCTGATAGCATCTCTCGACAATGCGATCGAACACCTTATATCCATTGTTTCCTGCAATTTCCATCATGATGCTTTGATCAGAGTAAAAAGAAAGGGGGAATCAGAATGACAGAGAAGAGAATACCAGAAGCAGATTGTCCCATCTTTAATTGTTCCCTTTCTGTGATCACATTTATGTGAATGAGGGAAAAAAGAAGCTTGATATTAGTTGCATGTATGTGATTCTTCAAAGCAAAGAAGACGAGACTTGCTGGGGAGGGAGAGCATATGGCTTTCCTAGACATCAAGAGAGCTTTAAAGAAAAATGAATCTTAAATGCATAAGGAAATTAAAGCGTCTTTTATGCTTAAGAAATGAATCTGAGATGGGAAAACACCGGGGAATCCTGCGCAATAAGGAGACATCGTAATCAGGATACTCTTAGAAATATATATGTAAGCCAAAATGACAGAGTTGTAGTTGTAATGTAATGTTATATTGTAATCTTATAATTATAACAGCATTGACTCTTTCCAATCATAAGTTCATCCATTATATGTATTCACTTATTTAATTATACATCATGATTATAAATTTACATTTTGGTTTTTACTAGTCATACCCCAGAAGAAGTAATTTGCACAAAACATGTTCAAATTAATCATACCACACCAATAAAATTAAGAAATCATAATGAATATAGTAATTTCTTTTTTATAATAATGCCAACAATATTATCATTCTATATACCCTACTACCATATAACTTGGTTTGTTTGGTTAGTAATTAATTTTATTAAAGTATTATATGTATGTATAGAAAGTTAATAAGTTTTTAATAAAATTTAATTTGAATTTTGTTGAGAGGAACTTTTTCCCTTTAAAATGATGGTACAAAAAAGTCTATAGATTGAGAATTTTGTCAAGGAACACTACTGTACTGCCCCCAACAAAATTACAGCAACAAAGCTACAGCCACAAAATGAAGACATAGCTAGATATACTTTCTTATTTAAATATAAAAATATTGCTATATATTAATTTCTCTTGTTGAGGGAGCTTTCATTCTTGCTGTTGTTGTTGTCCTTGTCCTGGGAGGGTTCTTGCTTCCAACTTGGATTGCCGGTTCTCCCCTAACTTCCCCGTCTGTTCCATTGTCTTGGAAGGTATGAAGCTGTTGTCGCATGCAAATGCCATAAAAAAATAAAACCATTCGAATCACTACTCTCTCTTTTGTTTTTAAACATAAAGTCACAAAATTTGTCTCTGCAGACAAAAGCAAGATCAAGTAATCTTTTTCCCCCAACAATCATGTATGCTTAATTTGTTGTGGCGATTTATTGGTATGTGTCGGAACTGATGATTAATTTCGTCCGAAGTTATGGATGTATTACGAGACTTAAAGAAAGGCGGGGAATTTTTCTGCTTTGCCTAGAACATACAATATGAATTGTTAGATAATAATACAATCTCTAGTTACTAACTATAATTACCTCCGCCGTTGAATTTTTGGACAGCCTTGTTCAAATATTGCAAACAGTTCCGTCTTTTGTCTGCATGAGTGCGGAGGCAGTGGTGGATGGAGGAAAGAGGAATGATCCACCTTTGCACTGCAACTTCAAAAGCTTTTCCCATTCCGGCTCTGACATCCCCTCCAAGCTATATATGGAGAAGAGTTGTGGGCACATTGTGCATTATGTCCTTTGGTATCCTATCCAACGCACATAATTATTACACTACACAAATCTAAAAGGATTGCACCATCTCTTTATTTATGCAAGGAGAAGCGCAATATCATTTCCATTCTATGTTATAAAATTGCAAAAAGAGAAAGAAACGCAATAGTGGCCTAAAAGACACGACCCTTTATGCATCACACGCACACTTACTTTGTTGCAATAAAAACATTCTAAAATGTTAGAAATAGAAAAAGAGAAGAAGTATTTGAAGAAAAATTTATTGCTTTCTTGAATAATACTGTATGTACAATGACATGTAGATAAGTGTTTGCAAAGAAAATATTCCACGGTATAAAATATACAAAAAAAAATTTTAAAGTATTAAATATTTACAATAATTATAAATATAATCTAAATAATTGTGTTCACATCTTAACATCCCCTTCAAACTCAAGGTGATTGTAATGAAACCAACTTGAATTTGGAAAGAAGAATATGAAGAATATGAAAGCATCTAGGAAAATGAGCCTTGATGAAGAGGTTTGTTGGTTGATCAATGAAGCCAATGAAAACCAAATGAACAGTTCCTTGTGCAACATGATGGCAAACAAAGTGACAATTAATCTCAATGTGTTCAGTGCATTCATGGAAGACATCATTATGAGCAATCTACATAGCATTTTGATTATCACAATATAAATCAGTAGAAGAAGGTTGAGGAATGCTCATATCTTCAATAACCACCATAATGAAAAAAGTTCTAATGTGGTATCATTGAGAGCTCTATACTCAACTTCAATACTAGAGCAAGATGGAATAGTTTGTTTCTTACTTCACCAAGAGATAAGAGAATTATCAAGGAAAAGACAATAATTAGTGGTAGATTTACAATTAGAAGAATCACTAGCCCAATCAGTGTCAGAGTAAGTGCAAAGCACATGGAAGGAGTTGGTAGAAAAATGAAGTCCTTGAAACAATGTTCCTTTAACATAACAAATAATGCAAAGTATTGTTGTAGAGTGAGTGATGCGAGGAATCGCCATAAACTAAATAATAATGTGAACTGCATATGCTATGTTAAGGCATGTTATGGTAAGATAAATCAGACTACCAACCAATTGCTGATAGTGAGTAGGATCAGAAAGTGGAGAGTCATTCATAGGTGTAAGCTTGACATTAGGTTGGTCTATCAGACACTTTTCAATAGGGAGATCAACTAAATCCCATGTACAAGTGTTCTCAAGAGCTTGTAATTCATCTTGTATAGCTTGTTGCCAAAAAGGGTTAGAAGAGGCCTCTTACTAGGATTAAGGCTCATGTAAAAAAGTAATAAAAGGAAAACAATGATAATCACGAAGGTAGCTGGGAAGGTTTCTTACCCAAGTAGGATGACTTGAGGATGGGACAACAAGTTCATTTGTAGACTCAACAATATCATATGCAACATCAACAAATGAGACAGTTGACAAAGTAGAAGAAGACTCAAAATTATCCAATGCATTACTAGCAGGCAGATCATTTTTTACAAAACTAGTTGGAGCATGGGGTGAGGCATTATAGAGCTTATTAGATGTACCTACATTAGAATCATTAGAAAAAATCTCAATAGAAGGATTAGTAAAAAATAGAGAGTGATGAAAGGATGACACTTCAAAGTTTGACAACAATGAGAACATAATGTGTTCCCAAAAGACAATATGACGTGAAACTTGGAGTTCTTGTGACACAGGATCCCAACAATGACATACTTTTTGTGTAATCTCATAACCCAAAAAACAACATAATCAAGCTCTAGGCTCTAACTTGTTATGTTCATGAGGTGGAAGAAGAACAAAACATGCACAACCAAAAACCTTAAAAAGATTATAGGTAGAAGAATACCATGTAAACACTTGTATGGAGACTAGTTATTAAGGACTGATGAGGAATGCGATTAATAAGATAAGCAGCTATAAGAGCAGCTTCACCCCAAAATTGCTCTAGATAAGAAGATGAAATGAGCAGAGCACAAACAAAATCAAGGATGTGTCTATGTTTGCATTTGGCTCGCCCATTTTGTTCAAAAGTATAAGGATAAGATTGTTGCGTCAATGTTGTTTGGTCTATCACTTCTTTGGCAACCATAGCAGAAACAAGATGAGTTATAGTCCTTTCAAAGCTCACCATAGAATCAATAAAACTCACAATATGGAAAAAAAGATCTCTAAAAATATGAAGAAATAGATGTCAAGATCAAAATAAAAATTCAACAAAATATCTCAGGAAGGGCCTGAGAATAAATAATCCAATATGTAAAAGAAGAGATACCAACGACAAAGTTTTAGATTTGGAATGGATTT